TAAACAGAAAACAAGCAGTGCATTTGTAAAACATAATCCAATTCTACTAAGAGAAGCTGCAGCAGAGAGAATAACAAGAGGAGCCTAAGAAATTATGAGAGTTTAAGCTACTAGTGTATCTGCTATTGCAGATGTAGCAGACCAACTCTTGGTGTTATGTGAGCACAGCTCATGCAAACTGTCATTATTTTCACAAGTGGCAAAAAATTACCTTTGTATCTTTGGAGTAGATTAAACTTGGTTTAGCTCCAGCTAAGTCAGTGGAACTGCAGGAGGGATGAATTTGGCCTCCTGCATACTGTCAAGTACCTACCCTGTTTTCTACAGGGGCAAAAGAACTTCAAAACTTCAAGCCAAATTAACTTGGCAAATCTAAGGTGCAAGTACAGAAATGAATCTTACTGTTCCACTGAAAATACTTGGAAATGCCTACACTTTATTCAAAGGCTTGAAAACAAAAGATTTTCTATTTAAAATCCATTAAAATTACTCAATCCCAGTAATTTCTGAAATTGCTTTACATTGTGATCCTGAATGCCCATATAATTTTTATGGGATATATCACAAGCAGAATATGCAAGTTCACTGTGTAACTCATCAAACGACAACCAAAAGGCCTATTTCTGAAGCTAAAAATTTTTCAAGAATATGCAGTAAAGAGAAAAACAATTCAGGGTGAGAAAAGAGGCAAGTAGGAGCAGACAAGCCAATATTTTGTTGTTATTCTTGTCCTTGTTATCTCCTGGAACGGTTGGTTTTGGACTCAGACAATATTTAAAAACAAAACAAGCTAAAAAGAATACTGCAGTCATCACTAACAGTTTTCAGGTCACAGTTGTAATTGCAGTGAAAATTCTTTTTCATGCTTCTTAGAAATATTGGTTTAGACTGTTCAGCTGTGGATGAGTGAAACAAGCATGAACTGAACTGATACTCATTCCCCGCCATATTCCTAACCTTCTGCAGTCAATAATAAGTGTTTGCTTTAGGAAAAGAAAATTCCTTCTCAATTTTGTAGATTCGTGATATAAATCTGTTTCTGCCTACATTGCTTAGCCTTTGGCCACTGATAATGTTGTACAATACATTGAAATGGGAAAGAAAAAAAAAAAGTGGATCAGCACCGTTCAACTCCTACCAACATCCTTCATGGTACAGAAGAAAAAATGAAGCAGAAGACCTGACAATGCTTAATTTCATAGAGTATAATAGAAGTATATAGAACATGGTAATGTAAAAATTACTTAAGCCATGCCTGTGTCTAAAAGACAATGAAAAGGCTCACAGTTCAACACAGAAATCATCAGAGGAAATGCACTGTCAACTCTGTAAGACAATTGTTTGTCCTCAGAAGGACATGGCAAGATCCTGATATTTTAGACACTCCTTATACATCCTATGCATTCATCTGGTTAAATCTTATTTGGAAGCCACAGTTCATAGGAATTGTAACCATTTGTTTATGAACCAAGGTATAAAACCTCTTCAGTAAAGTCCTCTGCTACTACAACTGATGGCTAATTTCAGAGGTGTATTTTTATCTATTTCCTAAGAGGACAGCCCCAGGTAAAGCAGCAGCCATGACTACTGAATCAAGATCACTTGCTGTACTAAATTACTCATAATAACACTGCAGGTTGATGTTCCCGCATTAGGATTTGCAAGAATGTGAGAGAAAAGCCATAGCTGAAACATCCCATCAGATTAAATTGCTACACATCCTAAAAGGATGCAGGTGCGAATGCAAGGCAAAACACTGAACAGTTCACAGTTTCTATTAACTGAAAAAGACAGTTAAAAGTATTAACCCATCTTGCAGTAACTGAGTCACTTCAAGTGTTGTGTCATCTTAGTATCTCATGGAAGTGTTACCCACCTAATATTTAAGTTACCAATTCCTAAGTTTGAACAACATAATTCTCAGCAATTCAGACTAGAAGCAAATCGACTAATAGCTGATGGAGATTCGGTTATATCGCTGACACTTATAGTTTGAATATATTAATTTTTATAGTATTTGCATTTTAAAGCTGGCAAACATGAAACAAATAATGGATTGGACTTCCCACAACACTTCTTGTACTGTCTGTAGTTCCTAAAATTAGCTGTATGTGCTGGAGTTCCTCCTCGTTTTGTATGCAACTTAATCTCCCTGGGCTCTCTTCCCAGGAGAGCCATACTTTCAAACTTTTGAGAATTTCCACCTATCCAGGGGACTGTGCTGCCTGTATCAGCTCTTTTTTTTTCTGCATGCTCATTAAGAATATTATTAAGAATAAAGTCAGATTTTGAAAAAAACAAACAAACAAACAAACAAACAAAAAAACCCAACGTAGACTAGAAGTTAGATCGATTTAAATTTTCCAGCTTCTTTCCTGAGCAGGAAAACAATAATGGCAATTGAAAAAAAAAAAAAAAAAAAAAAAAGTAAATGGTATGATATTCTCTTCTTTATTCTTATTTTGCAGTTCAAATAGTAATGTTTCCTCTTTTCTCAGAACACAGCATCAATCAATTCTTCTTTAATATCTGAAGAAAAACAGATTAAGAAAATTCAATTCTTACATGGCCTAGAATTGCCTGGATTTTTTTCAAATAATTCACATTGCAAAATTAGACAAACATCCTCCCTCAACTCTTTACAGCAAATCTAGAGCAACGTAATTTTGTATCTAAAATAAATGTCTTTTTTCTGAAAAGTCATTTGGGAAATCAAACAAAAAAAGCCATCCTTTCCTCTCTTCTTTCTCAAGAAGTTCTGCCTTGAAGAGACATGTAGAAAATCAATCCTATGTAGCTGCTCAACTTATAACGCAGTAAGTCTGATAAAACACAGAATTTTGCCGTCTATTTTACTCATACCATTTATTCTCCATTTCCATTACCAACAGTACTCTCTTCCTTCTTGATGCTGCTCCCTATTTCCTCGCTTTCAGCAAGTGATGTCAACTCTAGTTCTTTTTGGTGATTCTGGTATGAACTTTGGCTTGATGGCTCCCTTTTGTTTCCAGTATGTGGCATGGATCCTAATGTTGCTCCATGGAGCACTTGAAGGCAATATGTAGAAGAAGACAGGCAAGGCAGCTGAGTGTACAAAATCTGCTCTGTGAAAGACTCTCCTCCTGCTGTGCTAGAAAATGGCATTTGAGAGCACAGCTGATGCAAGAACAGAGCTCCCTGCATGTAGCAGTCATTCCAGGGGACAATCTGATTGGCAGTGATGCCCACTGAGTAAAAAGCAAGAATGGAAAAAATCATGACAACAAGGAAAATAGAATTAAAATCATGTGTATGTAAAAATGCATGTTCTGCTTCTGACAGCGCACTCACTGCAAAACAATTATTCCTTAACAGTTAGTGCAATAGAGCAGATATCATACGCATATGAAGATTAGTTTTGTTTACATTGCAGTCTATCTATTCAGAACATTTATATTCAGAGAAAACTCAAGCTATATCATTACTACAATGTAAATAACAAGATGTCACTTCGGCACAGATACAGGGTGTGTGTAATGATATTGGAGACTCCACAATATTGTTTTTTATTCCTCCACTCCAGTTTTCCAAGTGAGCTCTGCAAAACATGAGCTGGATGCTTAATCATCCTTTGATCCACTTTGATCACTTTGAAAGCTGCAATTCCTGAACCTTGAATGTTTGTTGTATTTGTATACATTAATACAACTAAGTTATTCACTGGGTTACATGCTGAAGTAAGAATTTGTGGTGTAGCTACATTAATTTGGTTCTCTCCCCACTGTATTTCTGTATCTCCGGCCCTACTTATCAGGAAAGAGCCACACCACTTTTAATTCACTACCTGTTGTGCTCCAGACAGAAGTAAGACTCTGGGACTGTTTCTTCAGCAATACCCCTTCATCAGTCCTAGGAAATCTTACACCTTTACAAACCCCTCTATGCTTGCATGACATGCTCTAAGATAGGTAACACACTCTATTGTCATCATGCTATAAAAATAATAACTTTGTATGCTGGAATACAGCCCTTACTTCTGAAAATTTAAACTGAAAAACCACAGAAAATAATAGTTTTGCCTTACAACCAGAGGGGAGAACCAGGCCTAGTGCTAGAAAGAGTTGCTGCCAACTGTTCTAGAAAATGTTTGCCATGAAAAGCGAGTCAGCTTGCACCAGTCATCCTGTGAGTCAGACTTTTTCCTTGACAAAAGGACCTCCACAAAAATGGTACAAGAGCAGCATCTGCAGTCTGAAAGCATTTTGTTCTCTTATTTGATCAGAGGTGTTTTTTGGACTGTAATTTTATTTTAACAAACCTGACAGACAAACTAAATACATGGCTGTAGTATTGTCTTTTGATCCTACCAGGACTTGAACAAATTCAGAATACAGATACAAAAAGATACCAATATTGCCATTTCTACTTTGTTACTTAGAATAAAGCATTTCAGCATAATTTTATAAGTGATATCACAAATTCCCATAGGGAATTAAAAAAAAAAAAAAAAAAAAAAAAAAAAAGCCATAGCAATATTCTCTTGGCCTTTGTTTCTGCCTTCTACTATACTACCCTAAGATACATAAGTTCTTTCAAAATGATCTCTGCAGAAGCCCAGTAGATTTAGAATCCTCTTTTTCTTGTTCCCTCCCACTACTTAATTTCCTGTGACACCTCTTCATTTTTCATTCTTGACCACTACCTTACATACACCATAGGCACGTTAGTTTATTCAATATTCTTCGAAAAAACGTAAGTTGCTCTCCAATCTAGATGAAACCATTGTAGTAGCTAATATACACACACACTAACATTCTCTATAACATATAACCTAAGAAGTAACTTTGCATTCAAATTAAGTGGTAAGTGACCTATTAAGAGAGCAAAAGATTATGGGGAAAGGAGAAAAAACAGTTTATATATATTATGCATGTACATGCACATTCCTTCTTTCTCTCAGTCACCAGTAAAACTACTGATCACCCTGAGGCTTTCAGGTGACACTCCTGAGGAGTGACACGTCAAGATTTCAGAAATTTATCTGCGTTTCCATTCTGCCACTGTAACACAAATTGTTCCTCCACATGGTTTTGTACATAGTCCTGTGTGTCTCCTGCTGGCCCATAGGTTACCATTCCACTGCTGCTAGGTGAGGCAAGGAAAGCTGAACAGGATTCAGTTGGTGTTGTAGAAGTGAGGTGAATGCTGGAGACATTGCTGGGTCGGTGAAATGGCAGACGGTGGAACTGGGAACACTGATGCTGCTGGGGATGTTGGGACAGCTGGTAAGTTCCACCCTGGCTGCCATACTGACAGTACGGCATCTCTAGACTACCTATAAAGTCCAGCTGCTTAGAAGAAACTGCTGAACACAAGCTGTGGAAAGCAAGAAGAGAAGCAATTCAGAGTTCAAAGTAGAGTCAACCCCAAACATCACCTTCTAACATATACAACTATTGTTTTATTCACCCTTGACAACCATCAAATCCTTATCTGAATCCAACGTTTTCTTCCAAATCCCAGACACAGGAAAAAAGAGATAGAGCATTAACAGCAAGATTCTCTAACATAGCACATTGATGGGGAGTACCTTTTAGTTTTTTCCACTCTCTAAGTGGCAAACACCAATACTTAATCTCAAGGACGTGCTTCTGAACTTCACTACCACTTGATGTACATGCAATTATTATGGCTATCAGTTTTCTGGAGGTAAGTGCATAGTCCTACAACATCATTATTCACTTTTCCATACTCTATTTAAAGGGTTTGTTTTCTTTTGAATTCTTAGTTACATTCCCATATATTTCCTTGTCCTATGTCCCAGCTTTGCCCTCCCAAAATTCACTTTCTTTGTCTTCTTCAATGAGAGTCTCATCTATTCCTACCCTTGATCCTGGATGCTATAAGCGAAGGCCTCCTTGGAGCTGTTTTCCTGACTGGACAAGCCGCATTCACTGTTGGGAGCATCCAGCATCAATGGGACAATGTGACCGTAGGGGCTGAAGGAAAGACTGAGAGGCAGGCTGGCCCTACGAATGGGTGGAGGACTAGGAAGGCTTGGGAAGCACTCCACTCTGCTGGAACTGAAGTCAAGCTGCAGCAACGCCTTTGTCTGAACTGCTTCACAAGATCCTATCATCCCTGTCACTGGAGAGACTGTGAATAAAAAGAGAGACTGTCATACTAAAAATTGAAAGGAGTAAGCAAAGGATCAGTCGAATAAAAGTATCAAAACAGAAAGGCAAGATGCCAGTGAAGGAGTATAGGTTAACTGATGTGAATAAAAGTGAATAAGTAGCAGCATTTCTTCTGGGATGAAAAACAAGCAGTAACAAGCTCTCTGGAACATACAGTTATGTTTATTAATTAACTAAGATTACTCTCAGAATTTTAGTCTCCATATAGTAGATTTATTCAGCTCTCAAGAAGGCAGCCAAATGAAAATAAGTACTTAATGGAAAGAAAGACAGGATCCCTCAGCCTTCTTCCACATCTATTGTCCTCTGGGAAGAATGTGCTGCACAGATTATCCTTTCGAAAAATTCAACTAGTTTGGAAGAAACAAAAAGCATGCCTTTATAGACATAAAATCTCGGCCGTGTCTTAAAAACACAACTTTCATTCCTGATATGCATTTGATGAATCATGCCAAACACTAAAACAAACAAAGCAAAAAGATAGATAACATAGATGTCAGCCTTGGGAAAAGGAAGCTGGGAGATGAGAAAGCACAACAACATATTTCAGTAGCTAGTCTTGTTTGGTAGTCTGTCTCTTCAGGCACTGCTGGAAAAGAAGAATGGAGTAGTTTCTTACCAAGCTACCTCTGTGGAAAGAGGACATGATAGGAAAACTTTATAAGCATATATGCTAGTGATCCAGAACATGTATGCACAGATGTTCAAGAATTTTATATGTGGTCTTCAAGAACTTTGTATGTTAACAAAATGCTCTTCCATTAAGCCAAACATCAAATTATTTCTGTTTAGAGAAATTTAACTATCTTTAGGCATTTAGGGCAATGGAAATGATTTTTCAGGACTAGTTAGGCCAAACCAGAATAAGGATGAGCAGATATGAAAATATATCTCAGGCATTATTACTCAAGAACAATTGGTCTACTTCCACACATGGCAAAGCACTCAGAGAATGCTATAGCAGTGTGAATAGTTTACAGCTGTACTTCACTCTCACAGGCATAGAGGAACATCAGATGCACTCTACCAGATGTATGCCTTTGGCATAAAACCTAAACATAATACTGCTGCAGCTAGAATGAGCAACCTTTATAAAATTTTGGAATGTGTGTCCAAAGAGCTAATAAGATTCCACTTCAATCATCTGCAGTTCCATTTCTAAGATTCTCCAGTGAGCTGTGCAATTGCATTTATCTTAATATATCTTCCTTTATGATTTTTTTTCCAACTAACTGCAACTATGAAAAGAGACAGGATCTTTCAGTGAAAACTTGAAGAGCCCTGAGTTTGGGATAATTTCAAAAACTAGATCAAGACACGACATCTCTAAACCATTCACACTCCCAGGCAATTCCCAGTGGTTTAGTTTGCTATTTGAATATGATCTTTCTGTTTCAGGCAGCATTTACGTTGCACGTCCACAATTCTTTTGACATAGCATACAGTCCAAGGTTTGTAAAACAAGTCAAAACAACTTTTAGTTTCATAACAAGACAAAGTAACTTGGCCAGAAACAGAGCTGAAGCTCTGTTTTCGTTTACAAAAGCCTTTGATTGCAACGCCCCAGAATGTAATATTTTGCACAAACTTCATGAAGCCATAGCCATACTGGGTACAACTTATCTGAAAAATTGTCTATATCCAGATAAATTTCAGTTAAACAATAATATTACAATTAGCTATTTTGAAGTTGGCCTTATCCATGCTCAGGGCAAATGTGAGCAGTGTTAATAAGATATCCCAGAAAAACAATTTTAAACCCACTTTCACACATAATGAGAAATATGTTCTGTATCTTTAAAAAAAAAAATATTTAAAAACATTTAGTACAAAATAGCCCTTGTGGATTGTGACATTAGAACTATGAGTAATGTCTTTGCTGTAGTATAGCTTCTTTCTCAGCATCCTGGCAGAACTATGAAAGCCATTCATCAAGGCAAGATTTTCCAATGACTGAAACAGAGTCTTAAGTGAAAAGGAAAGAAAAAGATGTGAAGGATATGTATGCTACTCTCAAGATAACTGTTTTCAGTCTTTTACTAAACTTTAGGGGATAACATAGGAAGATGCATCTTCTTATGCTACAGATCTGTCCATGAACTTAAAACTGGGCACGGTTTTAACTATAAGACTGTTTTAGGGAGTTGCTTTCACTGTCATCAGATCAGATTACCTCCAAAATCTTTGGTATTAGGGTGACACCTATCTGCTTTGGAGCCCTTTCTCCCAGTATCTGCTATACATTACTTTCTCATCATACTGACTCCAGAAGGCCTCAGTATAAGACAACTGTCACTGTTCTGGCAGATAACCAAGCAGTTGGTTGCAGACTGCTCAGTAGCTCTGGGGAACATGACCAGTTGCTCAAAAAGCACAGTGTTGGGTACAGTGCAGCTGATGTTGAGCAACAAAGCTAACCTCAGACAATGTACTTATACTAGAACTGCTTTCTCAAGCATCAAGACTTCAGCAAAAGTCTCTGTTACTATGAGTGTCAGTTACACACTGAACAATCCAGTTTCTTGTAAAGAAAATATGCCTGTGTAATAGTAATCACAGCACTTACTGGAACTTTAAGGACCATCATAAAGCTTGTCTCATACACAGTCTCTTCCTGAAATTACTATAAGTTCTGTAAAAAAATGCATCTTTCTTGCAAATGGCATTTTCAAAGCAGAGAAAATCTTAAAGTTAGGAGCACAAGCATTCTTCAATTAATTAACTAAAGATGAGTATACCAATTTCAGGTTATAACTATAATGCTAGGAGAAGTGCATTGGTCTGATCTTATGGATGGTAGAACAGAACCTACTACTTGTTTAAAAGTTGTGAATCTTGTTTGCCATGTGAGATATACATCACCAGTTTTAAAGTAATTTGTTTAAAGGCCAGAATAAAGAATAGTGAAATCATTAGGACTTATGAGATTTATTTACTGTTCTTTGACAGATCGTATTGAACTTCATGAAATTGCTCCTCCATCCCATTCAAATTTCTGCTTCTGGCTAATCAATCACATTGTTATTTCCCTAAGAGCTACAAGCTCTTCCTGCAAAATCACCAAGGGGAAAAAAAAAACAAAAAAACTTCAATTAACAGAAGCATAGAAAGTAGCTTTTATTTCTATGGGGGTAAATACTTATTTGTATATAAGCTTACAAACAGCTTCTGAAAAGTTAGCATCAGCAGCTAAATCACCAGAAATCTCATAAAATACACAAAATTTCCAAACTTTGGATCCAAACCACAACTTTATCAAAAACACAACTGCCTGATTTTGCTCAAGGAACTTTTATAACTGGAAGTTTATGTACGTGCACGTCCAGTGCCTACCTGCATAAACATGTTCTTGTTTTTCATGTAAAAGGCATTTAATTATACATGCATCCAAACTTTCCATAACAGTAAGGAAGTTCAGTCCTACTCAGAGACATTCAGGTTTCATCTCTAAGAGGTCATGTATGTTTTAAATCACTGAATCAAAGTAATATAACTGTCAGAAGTCTCAGTCAAATAAACTGCAAACAATTAGAAATGTCAAATACATACATGCACATTACTTTGTTTAAAGCAAGCTACCTATCTATCAAAAATCATAATACCATTCTAAGACCAAGCAAAAAATTCTGAAGCACAACTGAGTCTTTTGATTTTGGCATTAGCTGTGTTATCCATAACTGCCAGAATGGAAAAATATTACCACACCAACTTCTTTGGATAACTGTATGAAACTGTGAGACAAAAAAAAAAAAAAAAAAAAAAAACCCCAAAAAAAACAACCCACCAATGTCTAGAGAACAAGGAAAAAGCAAAGGAAAAAAAAGGCACTGAGTACTTCACAAAAGTTAACAGGTTGTAGCATTCTCACGCACGTAATTTGCTTGTCCAGCTGAAAGTGGAGAAACATGGAGAAACATTGCTACCAAGGATAACACCTGAACAAACACTCCGAACAACAATTAGGCCAGTCTCTGAGCATAACTGATCATTGCATAGGTCACAGATTGTTCTGCTGAAATCTGCCATTGTGTAATTTTCCACCGAGATCATTTTTCCTGGCCTTTGCCTTGTGGATTTATGACCTTTTTATTCATTTGTTCGCTCTTTGTTTTCCTCCTTTTACTTGGCATGTTATCCTATCCATGTTTTATCTTCTTCATTTTCTGAAGTCTTCTAAGAAAAATGGTGAGCCCTAATTGGCTTTGTTTATGAGCAAACTTATTTCTGAATGAGGATGAATGGGTCTGCCGAGAAGAAGGGGAAAAAAAAAGGAAGTCTCATTTTTCATGGTTTTACTGTCCTAAGATACGACTGTGACTGAAGGCTTTCCTGCGATTGGAATATGCAGATTTCTCTCCTATGAGAACTCTCTTAATAGCAATCTTTTCACTCAGAAGGAGCAGTAACTCAGATCTCTACTTTTCCTGGGCAGCAATTTTCCCATGACTTGTAGGAATGTAACTTTAAGACTGGAAGGAAGGGTGGGTTTCATAAACAGTGAGTTCAACCTGTATCATTACACCAACCACACTACTCCCTCTCCTCAGGAAACTAGGATGAATAATAGTAATAATAATAATAAATAAATTACTTAACTTCACAATTTATGCTCGCTAGCAAAACATACACCTCTTTTCTGCAAAGTAATTTAGAAATGGTAATATTTTTGTCACACAGATATTTACTTGGAAAATACTTACGAGCCTTAGATGACAAATAGTCTTTAATACTTTTTGCTTAGCTTAATTTAAAGAGAACAAAGAGAATTCACCTACATGTCCTTAATACTAAAGATCCTGGAGTTTCAGACAAGTAAGGGAAATGCATATTGCATAAAAGCTAGATTTACACACAGCATCAAGTTCAAAGGATCAGGAAGTAAAAACCCATAAATCTTTATCTTGATTTTTTTTTCCATATCAAGAATTGGATCCGAATGTACAGATTTTCCAGAAACAAATGGCTCAATATAGGCGAATTTGTACTTTTGCCCTGAAGAGCACATAATAGCCAAAATAATAGTTTTGTCATCATGTGGGAGAACCCAAAGTTGCAACAGTTATCATTCAGCTATAACAGCAGAATGTTTCAACCACATATCCTTATGAACTCATGTTCAGAATTGCTTGCTGGGCTGTGGTATGGCATGAATGAATAAGAACAGTAAATCTAGCTCTAGTGCTAGTACAGAGATACCATCCAATATAGCCATTAACATGATTAGAAGAGAACTGCTAAATCTGATGTCACTTTTTGTACTGATGTGATTGAACTCTAACATGACCTCTCTGAAGTGTCTGAGAGCCTGCCAACATCACCAAAAATAACAACAATAAGATTTGCACTGATATGGATCTCACCTGAGGAGGAAGCAAGCAACGCAGAATGTTCACTGACCCTACTGGAGCAGTTCCCAGCTGTAGTGTCTACACTTAATATGGCAGACTGATCAGGCAATGGAGGCATTGGCAGAAGAGGTGCCCTGGAGTTGTACATAAGAGGTATGAGCTTGAACTGGAACACAATGCAAGACATTACCACAAAATACACACTTTTTTAGCTATCCTACAACAGATAGATCCTAGATCATTAGATCAGTAAGCACTGTCTTTGCACTTACGAGTGCAAGGAACACTATCGACCAATATTTGGGGAAGCAGTCTCAGACTACTTGTGTGGAAAGGATAAGTAGCAGGGACAGTGCAGTGAAATCCATCAGGTGGTCTCCTATCTGTCACTTAACAGATTCTCTTTCTCTCTCTGTTCCCCCCTCATCTCTGAAACATGCTGTTTTTCATTTCTTCAGAGAATGTCTCCATGATATTTGTTACATGCAAGCACTTTTTCCATCACCAAGTGACAAATTTATGAAAATGTTCAATGATGATGGAAGGAGGTCTGAAATAAAAAGCTTCCTGTGTGCACACAAAGGGCCTAAAGAACACATAAAACAAAAATAAAAACGAAGGAGTGATTTTGTTTATCCTTTCTATTCAACACTGCTCTCTGCATGGCTTCAGTAAAACAGTGCTACACTGTGTCCAATAGCTCTCTTAAGAGGATGCACTACAATAATTTGCTAGGAACCTGTCTAGCTGGAGAAAACAGATGTGCAATAAACCATCTCAATGATCAGTTCTCCATGGCTTAAAAATAATAGGTGAAGATTTAATTCATTAGGTATCTATTGTGGAGAAATGAGTAAACAGAGCAAGTCCCTCACCCACAAATGTCTGACCCAGCATGGACTGCCAGAGCTGCTGATGTTGAGTATTTTTTGCTGCCTTTGACATTCAACTTCTCTGTTTTTCTCCACTTTGCCCTGCGATTCTGAAACCACACCTGATCAATAGAAAGAAACATTCAGATGGAAAATTATCTACACACAGGAACACAGGCAAAGAAACAGCAATGACTGCCTCCAAGCTTGCTCAGATGAATCCAGAACTCTTGAAGAGCCTTGCTTCCACAGAGCATCAGCAAAATTAACTTCTCCCTGCTTCAGTTCCTCCTCCTGACACTTTTTTTGGCACAAATCCCATAAGTCACTGTTACCCACACAGGCATTATTACCATGATACGCTGTGGTGTCACCCCAACTACAGCTGCGATTGCCCTCCTCTTTTCATTGTCAGGGTAGTGATCTACCTGGAACACCTTCTCCAACTCTTCTAGTTGCTCTAGAAATGACACAGAGAGAGATTGAAAGCATATGAGGAGAAGATAAACAACAATTAAAAAAAAAAAAAGAAAAAACAACAGATAAAACCCCAAATTTTTTATGTAGTTAGCCATACATGAACAACATAGGTGGTATTTTCTTAAAAGCAAACCACAGAAGTAAGCAAATGTCTCCTTCCACAGTAAAACAAATAGTATTGCTAGCAATATTTCAAGCACAAAGACTTGGCAAATTTTTTAACTGAAGTTCTCAACCTCTAGTACTGCAAAATGCAATGAAAATACTATTTAGGGCAGTTCAGCATCTCCATGCTGTGCCTTCAGGATGATGTAAGAAACATTAGTGCCATTATCACTACAAGTATCACTGCCTGCCACTGGGTTCCGCATTATCTACCTGAGCTATAGAAGGTGCGTGTCTTCTTCTTGACTGGCAGTAGAATTTCTGGATCCTCACATAAATCTTTTTTCTGCTTGTTCTCACCATGACTACTTCCAGATTTCAGGAATGAAGTTGTTGTGTAGGACTGCTGACCTCCAATACTGGCTGAAGTACAGAGCACTGACCTGCAATTAGTTGGGCCATATACATCCTCTAACAGTGCTAGCCTGCAGAAATCTCCAGAGATTGCACCAGGTAACTTCTCAGCACATACTCCACTTATGCAATTATTTTTTTTCTTTGCCACATTTTCAGTCACATCAGAGTAATAACCTTCATTCTTTTTGAATGACCCTGAATTATCCGTGGGTGCCTGTGCAAACATAACCACAGGAAGAGGAGGCACAGAATTTATGTTGCTGAGGAAATTTGACAACTGCCCACACACTGAGGCAAGGTTGAGAGGAAGGGCTGTTGAGTCTTGAGAAGTTGACTCAGTGGCTTGCAGCATGCAGTAACTACCATCTTTCTCCTTCACAAGGCTAGCCTTATCTTCTGTTCCCAGGGTATCCCCAACTTCTTTTATAGTTGCAAGTTGGAATGTAACTAGCGCATTACTCCCCGTACTGTGTCCACCAAGAGGATCAGCATCAATCACAAAGGTGTTCAGTGATACGCTCTCCTTGCTGTTCTTACACTCTACAAGGAAGAAAAAAAAAGAAAGGTGTTCCCCAGACTGACTCACATGTATGCTTTCTTACCCAGGTGCACCAAGATAAGTTTCAGTCATGGAAAAGGGGAAACACTGCAATAAAAATTAACAGTGTAAACAAAGACAAACATACTTTGAGTGTTCAAAATAAGACAGTGACCAAGATAGAAAAAGAAAAAAGAATACAATATGGTCAACATAGAGATATTTAAACATCTGATCTTAGAAAAGCCTTGTCTTGAGAGAAAAGATGCCTGCAAAAACGTTCAACTGCAAACTATAGGAGTAATTAATACTAAGCACACACGCACACCAAAAAAAAGAAAAATCAAGAGAAAGCTGTATGTAACTAACAATAGTACTTTTAAGGAAAACAGCACTGTGAATAACAGAGGCCTTTGGAATAAAGAACATAATAAAAAAATCTATGATATGTCAAGACACCAAATGACTCCTTACAAAAATAAGCTAAAGACAAATGAAAGCCAGAGTCTGGTCTATTCTGTCAGCAGGGATTATCTGACAAATGGCACCACATTTCATTATAGAGGCTTCTGTTTCTATCATACTGAAGTTGATCAAAGTTAAAAAAAAAACAACAACAACAAAAAACAAATTGTATGAACATTTATTTATTTAACTGACTTAACTTTCTTCAGCTTCAGACACAACAGTAATGAATAACAGACCTAAGAACGGGCAGTGAAGAAGGTACCTGAAGACAAAAATAGATGAAAAAAAAAAAAAAATTCATTCTCTCCTACTTTTTACTTACAATAACACAATGTCAAAATAAAGAACTTGCTTTCTGATCCAAAGCCTCTTTCTTAAACAATTGTTAATTGAGTAGGAAACTCACAACATCAGTCAATTGGGTAAGCATTCATGGAAAGCATTCATACAAATAGACACCAGACTGCTTCCAAGACCTCTCAATTTGCCTTTTTACAGGATTAAGAGAACTGAATCAGTACTATAGGAAAAAGACAGTAGCAAAAAACTATGTACTTGTTAAGCAGCAAGTTTCCTTTGCTATTACATGAGATGAGATGAAATTACAAGCGCGGATAGGAGGGGCTAAGAACTAAGGGAGGGAAAAGCCATGTATACATATGCTATGTAATTCCCTTTTCCACTGTCCTTCCTGCTTTATCTTGTTTCAGTCCTGTTCTTGCTGATTACATGATAAAACTAGTATTTTCACATCATTCATCCTCTCATACTGTGCCTCAAATTAGAAATAATACTTTCAGCTTCATGATTAAAGACCCTTCCAACTAATTTTTATTTTTTTTTTATGAACTAGTATGCATTTAAATCACAAAACCTGTTTTGAAGTTGTTTGCCCATTCCTTGTATCCTTAGTAGAGATGGATCAAAAGCAAGGATTTTTGCACCACCAGCAGGAATAATTCTTTCATCAAAAAAAAAGAAAATCTGCCACCTCTATTTCTTAGACACAAAGCAAAGACCTAACAACTCAAAACTTGGTATCAACATGAAGATACCTGAAATGAAAGTAAAACTTGGGAAGAAAAAAAAAAAAAAAAAAAAAAAAAACCCACACAAAAAAAAACCTTCGCAGTAACAACCAGAGAGGGTTGCCAGCCCTCTCCTTTCATCATTGCTACAGCAAGAGACCTGATTCAACGTCACATTTTTTTGGATAAATAATCTGAAATAAAAGAGATCTTAAGTGAACAGGTAGATCATACTAGTGGAGTTCAGAAAGTCTAAAGTCATATGAACAAGCGGCAAAATTGTCCTTTTTTCTTGCAATCACCTCCTCAGAGTTCCTAGAACAAGGTAAGCATTTGCACAGTGACAGCAAGATTTCAAGGGTGCTTTGAGCATTTGGTGCAAAGCATCCCAGGCATGCAGGGAAAACCATAAACATCCATGCAACTGAGACAAAGAGAAAGAGAACTGGGGACATAAGCACCACCAGCCTGGAAACTCTGAGGTAGCAGGATCACACTGGAGAGCTAAAACGGGAAGATCAGCAACCTCAGCCTCCTCACCAGTTTGCCCTATACTTTTACAAGCCCTGTGACTCCATGGCCACACACAGACACTGAGCTAGCAGACAGAAGCCCATAGCCTCGAGACAGCACACTGGATAAGATGGCAGCTATCCCTAGGGCAAGAGCTCTTATCACCCATCTTGCAAGTACCGGTCCAGGTTTGGTGGGATTACTGCCCAGATAACAGCTTGGAGGAGGAGACAACCGGGGTTGTTATTTTCTCCTGGGGCTGCTCGTTAGGTTTATTGTCGGGTGCTTTCTCTCTGGTGAATAACATGAGCTAGCGCTGTATTCCTGAAACTCTACCCTTACCTGTCCCTTTCAGCGTTCGCTCCTCCTCCATGCCCACCGCGTCCCTGCCGGCTGGACAGCTGCCGCACATCCAACCCGCCACAGCCAGGCACGACCTTGTTAGTGCCCCGCCCAGCAGCAAGACTTGTGAGGACTGCGGGGCCAGCCAGCTAATCAAAGCCAGCTGCGGTGCCAGTGATGGGAAAGCGCTGCCCAGAAGCCGCTATCTGAGAGACCTATCTCAGCCACTTGGCCAAGGAAGGGGTAGCAGTAGGCGGGCAACTCCTGAGCAGATGCAAGGACTCCCAATAGAACCACATGTAATGGAGAGGCAACAGTAAATCCCTGACATGGAGCTAGTGGTGAGGCACGGCTCCTATTGGTTGCAAAATCGTGCTTGGAGAGAGTTGGTCAGTGGCTCAATACCTGGATGGAGTGAAGGCTGATGCCACTCATGGGTCTAACCGGTGCTATTTCATATCTTCATCATCAACTACAGTGGGATCCATGCTCAGCAAATCTGTGGATGACAGCAAGCTCTGTGGTGTGATCTACACACCTGAGGAATAGGATGCCATTCAGAGAGACTCAAACAGTGGCCCCAGATGAATCTTACAAGGTTCAACAAAGCCAAGTGCATGGTCTTGCACCTGGGTTGTGATAATCCCCGCTATCAGTACAAGCTGGGGTATAAAAGAATAGAGCACAGCCCTGCTGAAATGGACTTGGGAATACTAACAGATGACAAGCTGGACAAGAGGCAGTAATGTACTCTTGTAGCCCAGTTAAAGCCAACCATATCTTGGGCTGTATCAAAAGAAGCATGGCCAGCAGGTCAAAAGAAGTGATCCTTCTTCTATCCTCTGCTGGTGAGATGCTTTGACCCAAGAGTAATTTTACAGTGTTAAATGAGTATAAAATGAAGCAGGTGTAGCAGCGTTGTGTAAATGAAGTACAATTGGTATGATAGTACAGCTGATTCAGATAGTAAATGTAAAGCATGCTGGCTGGAGTGTTAACGAAGCTAAAATGATGCTTAATTTCTCAGAGGCATCCAGCTGACAAATCTGATCTTAGAGTGGATAGAACCTCTTAAATATTAAACCAAAGGGAAAAAAAAAATAAAAAAATAAAAAAATAAAAAATAAAAAATAAAGACTGCTTTAGAGGTTCTTGTCTCTAATCAAAACTGTGTTTACTTACTGCATGAAGTTTGGCTGACTCTGGTATCTGGCTCAAATATTAGCTTTTTCTAGTATTCTGAAGAAGACAAAGAACTATGGAGAATGCTTTCTTTCTTTAGAAGGAGCAAATACAAGATTTTCAGGGCTGTGACCCTCTAGTTTTTAGAGCAACGTATATATTTATGTATTTCAAACTTTTTAAAAATGAAAAAAAAAACCCAAGCAAACAAATCAAAAAAACAGTACCTAAATGAGGAAGACTGTTAAGCAAAACAGACCTGGCTGGCCTGAAAGGGTCAAACAGGGAACACACGGCCCCTCCTGAAAGGGAAGGACTGCCATGTGAAACTGGCAAGCATAAGCTACAGCTTCTTCGTTCCGTGACCAAGAGCAGAATACGTGAAGAGTATGTCTTCATACTGTGAAGAGAACACCTTTTGATCACTGTACTGACCATAATCCACAAAGAGCTAATTAAGTAATGATGTATTGCTGTCAGCTGCATGAATGTTATCTGATTTAAGTATTGTATACTCCTGTAGCTAAAAGATATAAAAACTCTGTAACAACAATAAAGATTGCTTTTGCGCCACCAGAGCCTTAAGCCCATCTGTCCCAGGCATCTTGAGCTGGTCTCCGTCACCTAAAACGTTTTATTTTTAGACATAAACCAAGATTTTCCCAGGTTCTTGACAAAATTTTTCAAATGTAGCTCATGCCTGTATTTCATTGCTGTTCTTACCACAAAAAGAAACAAGTATAATTGCCCTCTACTGTGGGTTAGCTTTAAAGTTCTTTTTTTCTCACATCAGCATGGAAATGCTGGTTTACTTATTTATATTTTTTGTCCAGATATGTCTAAAAAGGTTCCTGTGAAAGATTCATGCTTCTTTTTACAGCCCACCTTTTAAAGTAAGTTAGCACTGAGTTTGATTTCTTCCTTCACTCAAGCCACAATCTTTAACGGCCATCACCATTCCAGCTGTTCCTGTAGCAGTAGTGGGAAAGTCTGCAAAAGAGAATCATTATGATTGATCCTAATCTGATTTGTCGGAACCCTAATTTAGGTTTTTGTCTTGAATCGCTCTCTATAGATAAATTTGTCCCTTTCCTGACTATGCTTATGTGCAAAACCTAAGGTGTTTTTTTTTGTTTTGTTTTTTTTTGTTGTTGTTGTTAGTGAGGTGATGCTGATGTGTTTGCTTTTCATGTGTTTGTTTTCACTGTCGAGTGTTGTTCCATTATATTTGGTTTAAAGTTCTTTTATCTACTGTAAACCTTACTACTTTTAGTTTGCTGTTGTCAGATGCATCTTATTCCAAATAAATGGGTTTTAGGTTCCCAGTGAGTGAACACTGGCTCTGTGCAGTTGGAATTAAGAATTGAATCTTACAGTCTCAATTTTTTCTTCTTTCCATGTGGTTACTTTCCAGATCTTAATTGTTCTAATGATTACCCTTAAATTTTCTATGTGCTGGAGTACCATATAACAAAAAATGAAAATCTATATCTATCTATCTATAATATATATATATATAAATGAATATATATATATATATATACAGTGTGAAACTCATTGGAGAAATTTAGCTTATATGGCATTTAGAATCATGTCTGACATTGACAGGAACACTTAATTGGATAGATTATGAGAGAATTTGAATCTTTCCAGCTGATAGAGCACATTGGGAACAGCAAGATTGCAAGATTGGTGCAGCTTTGTAAGTGAAGACCAGCCTGGAGCCAGGGATGACCCCAGTACAGGCAGAGGTGGTGTCCTTGCTGACCAGAATGCGCAGCTAGAGCGTCAGAGCAGGGTGATGATAGCAGGGCCCATTGACAGCCTCAGGCAGGGTGAGGTGATGAATCATGGCCCTGGTCTGTCTGGAGGCTGCAGTCACAAGTAGAAGGAATTGCAGTGAGAGGCAGGTATTTCTGTCTCTGTAGGCACAGGCCTACAAGCCTACATAGGAATGTGGTTCCTATGTCCCTATGCTTAAGCTCAAATATACTTCCAGAGACAATAAGGAATAAATTATTTGGTGTAGGAAACCATTCAGGTTAATAGAAGCCTGTTGGTGCACTTGGAGCCATGACAAGGAGGCAAGAAGGGTTACCTCTTAAGATTATTCACATTTAGAAATAGAACCATTCACATTTAGAAACAGAAATTTTTTTTCTTTCTCAGGCTTCAGCAATAAACATACTGGTTTATAGTGTAAAACATTAGCAGATTCTTGTTCAAATAATAGATTTTACTAGGATGTGTGTTGTGATTCTGTGGAAGGGATGTGTTTTAAAACCACGTATTTTATGGCTCTTCAGATGGGCTCTACATATGGCTATAAGGTTCTTGTTTATGCACATGGCTACTCCTTTCTGTAGCCTCTGTGATGTCAAATAGATGCCTCAAGCTAATTACACAGGAGACCAGATATAAACAGCACTGGTGTTTGAGTCCCAGATCTTGCTGACATATGTTTAAAGGTCATTTCTCATTCAGTGTTCTTGTTCAGTGGACCTTCTTTGGCTTATAAGCAGAGTATAGAGAAGGAGCAGATAAGCTCTAACCTACGCCTGTTTAATATCAATTTTCTGGGAAGGCAGGCTGGCCCTCTTAGATAATGTAAGGGAGAGATCCTGACTTAAGATTAATAGGATTCAGAAGATTGTCAACTTGATTCTGATCAACTGAATGTACAGTTGAAGGTGCTAAGAGCTGTTGAGAAGAATTGCAGTAGCTTAATTAACAAGTCCTTGGCTTTTACAAAGTTAGTCTCAAAAAGCATGAACCAAGTCAGTGGAGATTTTTTATGGATTTTAGAGGTAGGATGGTGCTGCAGCTAACTAGTTAATTAGAGACAGTGAGAAGCTGAGAACTATCTGAAATGTAAGCAAAGTAAAACAGGATACAATCACTTAAAAGCATAAGTAGATAATTAAATATTCCTAAACAAAATCATGACAACAGGATGCGTGTATTTTAAAAGGGAGAAGTTAACCTTTGATACAAATAGTTAAACAGTATAAGCATTCTATCCCTCACAACAATAGTGTCTCCACAGTTTAACTTAAAAACCACCTTGGAAGACTAACAAATAATATGCCCACTTGTTCTTGAGAGCAGAAGTTGAAAGAGTAAAGAATTCTTGGTTTACACATTGTTAACAATATGACTTCTAACTGAAATTGGCAATATCTATAGCATTTCTTTCCAAGATACAGGTAACAAAGAATAAGCTGATAAAATACGATACGCCTGGGACTGCTTGTAAAAGATGACCTTACACAGACACGGTTGAAACATCAGTGATTGTGATCGCTTTACATTTCATAAGACTTGAATTAGTAGATATTTTGGATCTTTAAACATCTGTGGATCTTGGTGAGGCTTATAACTTTTCTTATGTCACTACGTAGTTTGAGATAGGGCTTTACTTCTGCTCTGAGCAAAGTTATGAATCAGCTTCAGTTCTTCTAGGCAAGAAAAGTATGCATACTGTAGTCTGGACCGTAAATTAAAAAGACAAACCTAGAAACTTTCAGGTTGGAAAAAACCTTAAGATCATGAAGTCCAACCATCAATTTAACCCTACAAATCCACCAGTAAACCACGCCCCTAAGTATCTCATCCACACATCACTTAGATACCTCCAGGAACCGTGACTCCACCACTTCCATCAGATAGCTTGTTCTAATGTGTTGCTATTCTTTCTGTGAAGAAACTTCCTGATATCCAGTCTAACTTTCTTCTGGCACAACTTGAGGCCATTTCCTTGCACCCCATCAGTTGTCACTTGAGAAAAGACCAGCATCCACCTTGCTGCAACCTCCTTTCAGGTAGTTGTAGAGATCTAAGAGGTCTTCCCCTACTCTCCTTTTCTCCAGACTAAACAGCCCTGTTCCGTAACCTTGTATATCTAGTTTCCTAGTCCCTTCACCAGCTCTGCTGCTCTTCTTTGCAAGCATTCTAGTAACTCAGTATCTTTCTTTTAGTGAGGGGCTCAAAAATTCCACATTACTAGTAGGTCCAAATCCCATCTTCTCTAGGTCATTCTTTTAGCTTATCCTTATATGCTGATGACTAATACCACTAGGAAACCTGCAGCAGCAACTATTCCAGAACATTCACAAACTTACACCATAAGTCTCTTGAAATCATTACCACGGCTAGTAAAGCAAGTTTTCTTAACTAACTTTGCTAAGTATAGCAATTTGTACTTAATTTAGAAAGGAGTGTTTATGGAAAAAATAAACTAAAATACTGAATATATTTCTGAAAATATTCAGAAAATAGTCAGCTACTCTCATTTAATATGAAAATCTAAAATCAAGGAAGCAGACTTTTTTTTTATATTTTATTTTAATGGGAGAAGTGCATGAATTTACTAGGATGAAAACTTTATTTATTTATTTATTTATTTATTAATCCAGCTACAATTACTGACATAAATAGGCTAAAATAAGCTATACCACAGTGCACATGGGAATTAAAGGGTAAAGAATCCAGGATGCCTTTCTGAGAGCACAAGAGCTCTCCGTCCCTCTGAATAAGGAAGTGGGCTGAGGAGGTAGGAAACTGGCATGGCTTGGCAAAGGACCTGCTGGGTGTGCTGAAGGCAAAGAAAGGTGTGTACAAGCTCTGGAAGCAAGGGCGTGTCACTTGTGAAGAATAGAGGGATGCCGTCCAGACTTGCAGAGGTGGGATTAGGAAAGCCAAGGTGCAGGCAGAACTGAACTTGGAGAGGGATGTGAAAAACAATAGGAAGACATTCTACAGGTACATTGGCCAGAAGAGACAGGCCAAAGCGAGTGTACCTCCTTTGGTAAAAGGAGAACTGGCTTCAACGGGAGAAGAGAAGGCTGAGGTACTGAATGAGTTCTTTGCCTTGGTCTTCACTGGTGGCCAGGATTCCAGTATTTCTCACATCCCTGAGCCCTGCATCCCTAAACCTCTAGGTGGGGACCAGGATGGTAAATCCCCATGGAGGGCACTGTAAGGGCAGAGCAAGTCCAAGACCACCTCATGAGACTGAATGTATGCAAGTCTATGGGGCATGCAACACAGGGTTCTGAAGGAGCTGGCTGAGGTTGTTGCTGAGCTGCTCTCCATCATATTTGAAAAATCATGGCTGTCAGGTGAGATCCCGAATGACTGGAGGAAGGGTCATGTCACTCCCGTTTATAAGAAAGGGAGCAAGGAGGACCCTGGGAACTACAGGTGGGTGAGTCTCACCTCTGTACCTGGGAAGATCATGGAACAGATCATCCTGGATGACATGCTGGATCACATGAGGAATGAGCGTGTGATCGGAGACAGCCAGCACAGCTTCACCAGAGGAAAGTCATGCTTAATCGATCTGTGGCCTTCTATGATGGAGTGATGGCTTGGTGGACAAGGGAAATGTGACCTATGTCACTTACCTGGACTTGAGCAAGGCCTTTGACATGGTTCCCCACCACATCCTTGTCTCCAAATTGGAGGAATGTGGATTTGATGGGTGGACCACTCAATGGATAAAAAACTGGTTGAAAGGCCACAGACAGAGGGTGGTGATTAATGGGTTTATGTCCAGGTGGAGGCTGGTAAAATGCGGCACCCGCAGGGGCTGTCTTGGGACCAGTGCTCTTTAACATCTTTATCAATGATGTAATTGAGTACATCCTCAGCAAGTGCTGAGTGGTGTGGTAGACACAGCGGAAGGAAAGAAGGGATGTCATTCAGAGAGACCTCAACAGACACAAAAGATGGGCCCAGGTGAACCTAATGAGGTTCAACACAGCAAAGTGCAGAGTTTTGCACTTGGGACTGAGGAATCCCAGGCATCCATACAGACTGGAAGGAGCGGTCCTTCCAGACAGCAGCCCTGCAGAGAAGGACCTGGGGGTCTGGATAGATGAAAAACTTAACATGAGCCAGCAGTGTGCTCTTGCAGCTCAGAAAGCAAATGGTATCCTGGGCTCTGTCAGAAGAGGGATGGCCAACAGGGACAGGGAGGTGATTGTCCCCCTCTACTCTGCTCTTGTGAGGTCCCATCTGGAGTACTGTGTCCAACTGTGTGGAGCCCCCAGTACCAGAAAGAGCTGGTGGAGAGGGTCCAGAGGAGAGCCACAAAGATGATCAGGGGACTGGAGCACCTCCCCTACGAGCACAGGCTGAGGGAGCTGGGCTTGTTCAGCCTGGAGAAAAGAAGGCTGCAGGGTGACCTCATTGCAGCCTTTCAATACCTAAAGGGAGCCTATAAATATGAGGGGAATCAAGTCTTTTAAAGAGTAGATAACACCAGGACAAGGGGAAATGGTTTTAAGTTGAGAGAGGGAAGATTTAGGTTGGATGTCAGGGGCAAGTTCTTTACTATGAGTGATGAGGTGCTGCAAGCCCAGAGAGGTTGTGGATGCCCCATCCCTGGAGGTGTTCAAGACCGGATTGGATGGGGTCCTGGTCTAGTATTAAATGAGGAGGTTGGTGGCCCTGCCTGTGGCAGCGGGCATGGAGATTCACGATCCTTGAGGTCCCTTCCAATCCTGGCCATTCTGTGATTCTGTAAAGGCAGAATGTTATACAAAAGGAAAGCTGGAAATATGAAGATAATTCTTTAAACATATTAAATGCAAGAAAGATACAGAGTTTTCTTTGGTGTATTGATTCATATACGTGATGTTGTATTAACATAACTGCAGCAGCAACAATATTTTACAGTTGAAGGCATGTGCTCAGACAGGTTCTGCACAAAAGCAGGACTACATGTAAACTGGACTTACAACTGGAGAGTTCTACAAATACAACAGAGTCCCTGGCACATATTTTGACTTTATCTACAGTGGCAAAATATCTCAGTGTCTACCACAAGTGTGCAAAATGGTGCATGCAGTATCATATCAGCTGTAATAGTTAGGACAGCAGGAAAATGCAACTTCATTCCAAATGCCTAGAGACATGGTTATTTTGTACAGTGCATGTACCTACATGTCAGATCTTTATAAAAAGTAACTGTTCTACTTTGAGTGGGAGGTAGAGTAGAAAACAGGGCCATTTCAGATGGCTTAGTGGAACTCTGATTCAGGAAAGAGGGGGACTGCTGTGAAACAGGTTCTTCAGCAGTCAGTAGGGACAGGACAGCCATAAACTTGAGCATAGGAAGTTCCGTACTAGCATGCAAAGGACCTTCTTCATGGTAAGGGTGATGGAGCACTGGAACAAGCTGTCCAGGGAGGTTGTGAAATCTCCTTCTCTGGAGATATTCAAGACCTCCCTGGACACCTATCTGTGTAGCTGGCAGTAGGGGACCTGCTTTGCAGGGGAGTTGTACTCGATCTCTGGAGGTTCCTTCCAGCTCCTACAATTCTGTAATTCAGCTTTATACTTCTTAAGGTGCAGAAAATCATAACAGTGACTTCCAAAAACTTTCTAAAACTCAAGTGTGTATTCTAATGCTACTGAGGATTCTTTATAGCATGCTAAGACTTAGCGCTTCATTGTATCTGTACCTTTTAAAAAGAAAAGAAAACAGTAGATGTGTATGATCAAATAGATCCATTGTTCCAAGTAGAAATTATAGAAAGGAGATCAATACTCTCAAGACATGAAGAGGATATTCAAATGGAAAATTTTCCTCATCTTATGTTGTGCTTTGTGCTTAGCGCCTTCTTTCTCAGAAACTCAAAGCTCTCAGTAGGCTAATAATAATCAATTTAGCCTCACAACATCCAGTGAGGTAGGTAAGTATAAACCCATTTCACAGATAGGAAAACTAAGGCAGAATTCTGAAGTAACTTGCCAGTGGTAAAATCAGAATACATTTCCAGGAATCCAGATTCCATTGCTCTGTACAATTAAAGTCACTCCCTACTAACACAAAGCAAGCAATACATGCAACATTTTTCCCTTCTGCTGCTGTGATTCTGGTGACAGGAAGGAAGTGAATATATTTTCCCGGTTGAATTCCCACTTTCTTTGGCAAAAGATTCATCTGTAATACACTCTTTGCAGAGGTGCTTATTCCTAGAAACAATAGAAAAAAGATGGTTTCTCTGTAGCAGAGAGACTGCACAGGTTCAAGAAAGGTAGAATTATTTCCTGCAGAAGACTTGCTGCTTGGCATTCTTCACACGTTGTTCTTCTTTCAGGTTCTTCTGCCGTGCATGTTTGCTGGAGATGAGCTCCACATGTTCTGAGGGGAACCATCCCCTCTCCCTGTCTGAAAGTCTCACTCCTTCCATCCATCCTGTAGGAGTGGGGACAAACACAACATGAGGCAAAATAGGTGAGGATTTTTCCATTACTCTTCCCTCAAACCTCACTCCAACAAAGCCCTAAAGCCCCTTTCAGCTTCCATATAAAATTCTTTAATGAAGATAAAAAGTCTCTTCATTCTTTCAGATGAACAACCACAAATGTGAAGCTCCTTCTGAAGCTGGATTGTGCTGTTAAAAGCTTTACGCTACTTAAGTAACTTGCTAACCATAATTTTAGATATCGTTCATTCTGCTCACCATCATTGCTGTATTGCATAACCATGATGATATCTGCTTTCTCCAAAGCTAGCTCATCATTTTCCCGAGCTTTGTACATCCTTATGCATTGAACCTGTGGTGCATCTAATAGGAGAGGAAAGATCATAACAGTATACAAGAAAGTAACAGTAAATCTCTATGTATCAGCCCAGATGAGGAAGGGGATAAAAGATTGCCCAACCACTGAAGAGCAGAGAATTGGATGGGAGAATACACATCTTCTACCAAATGAGGAATAAAAAATAAGTAGAATGACTGACAGAACCTGGAACTGAGGAGAAAAAAACATGAATATATTTTAATTACGTAAAGGAAAATATTCTGCCATGGAGTCATTCTGGGATAATCCACCTTGCAGTAATTCCAAGTTGCCCACTCTCCTTGGTAATAATAGCAGAGCAGTCTTACCAGGACATTCCAGGAGGTCCAATTCCCCTTGTGGAGGAACCAAAGCAGAGATCCACCTCAGTTTCTCACTGCTGAAAAACATCACCAGGTATGTGTCAGATTTCAGTGTGAGGGACAGCAGTGTAAGAGTGCACGTGTATGTGTGCACATGTCCATCCTCACAGGAGGGTCAGCAAGTGGGTCCTTACAGAAGTAGGGGAAGAAGTGGAAAAAAGGGTGGGACAAGGCAAAACTCCCATTTTTTCAGGCTGATGGTATGAAATGACATTGTAGTATTCTATAAGCAGCTGTGATGAGAGAGGAGCAACATGATTCATTAGGAACTCGTTATGGCAAAAGGATGATTTCTGAGTTTCCATTCAGCAGCTGTGCTTTATATTTCAGCATATTGGTAGTTAAGGGACAACCACTAGGCTCATAGGAGGTGACTGGTTATGGCATTGGGACATATTAAGGTAACCTTGAGTGAACTCACTGTGTCTCTGTGCGAAATAGAAACTCCACTCTCTTTCCCTGGCAATTCTGAAGTAGAAAGAGACGGAAAACATTTTTGTTTGTTCCATGCAGTTTCATCTCACACTTTTCCCCACGCACATCTGAGAAAGCAGCATGATCAAACACAACAAAACGTCCACCCCTGCAGGTAAAGAGGAGGAACAAAAATTGTGAGTATTAAGGTGATAAAGGCTAACAAGTAAGTACATGTAATTGCCTGATGTTAGGAAAGCAAGAAGCTTTTAATGATTACTGATCTGCTTCAGACACCGTAAGCTTTGTTTTTGCTGGAAATCTGAGAAGGCAAGAGAAGATTTAACTAAAAGGGTAGAAATACAACCTTTGCAAACTCTGTCAAGATTTTATGTAATAGATTACAGCATAATAAAAACATCATCTTTTCACCCACCTTTTTAAACTACTTTTTCTGTTTCATTAATTTGTACATTCATGAGACTTCATACTATCATTTAGGAGGAAATTATTCTCTGAGTATGTAACAATCAGAAAGATCAACAAGATGGAAAGGTGATACTGGAGGTATAATGACAGGGGGACTAATGCAATAGAAAGATGTTGTAAGGCAATGAAAAAGGACTGCTTACCTGTCTCAAAGATTAGGCTCACAGGGGAAAACTCCACAAAGGAGGGATCTTCTGAAAGAGATCCTTCCACAGTGGCAGATAGCCCTTACAGGAGGTCTAAGAGAGGTGGAGCCAAGCTGTCTGTGCCTGCGCTCCCAGAGCTGACCAAGTCCTTTCCCCAGGTGCTCAATCAATGGTTCAGGCCATAACTCCATAGTTACCATACAGAGTATAACTATAATAAATTGCTATTAAAGCGTTTCATATTGTAGAGATAGACAGAATGGAAATATTGTACAATGAAGTGCCCAGTTATATTGTTTTGTTTATATTTTGATAAAACATCAGGAATGTCACTTAAGTGATACTCACGTAATGCAAGGTTAGGAAATGACTTGACAAATGCCGCCACTTGCTGGCAGCCAGAAGGAACTGACTCTAATTAAAGCACAGACCCAGAAGGATGCATTTTAGAAGGGACAGCAAGAACTGTGGCTGAAGCACTCACTCCTTTGGCCGAGATAGGAGCAGACAGTCATTGAAGAGATGTAGGTAGATAGGACGCGTGGTGACTTTCCATTTTGGACTTGGAGTATTGAAGTCCAGTGCTGTTAATTCACCACACTTCACAAGTCGCCTTGACTGTGAAACGAGTGGGAATATCTACAAGACAGAAGTAATATTTATGTGAGTTGTATGCAAGGAAAAAAGTATCCATGAATTTTGGATTTTGATCTTTCTATAGAGGAAGCATACTTTCATTTCTTCAGCTGGACCAAGTCAATTTGTCTAGAGACCTTCAACTGAATTCTGACACAAGTGTTTGGGTAAGGGAAGCACTGATGAAGAATTGAGCTGTGTAAGCTGTTGAACCAGCATATCAATGTATACAAGGGAGGAAAACAAAAGAAAGCACAAGTGACTTTGTAAGGAATGAGATGAAAGATAGTAGGCTAGAGGAAGGCCAAGGGCATGGACAATCTCACCTTGCACTCAAATTCTATCTTCTGGCTGAGGTAAATCAACTCTTCAGTGCTTTTCATGCGTTGAACATTTTCATTGCAGTCCTTGATGAGCTGCAGAGGAAAACAGGTGATAGTGAGGTGCAGCACTGCCTACTGGAATCAGTATTGTTCCCAGGAACCTATGAAGAATCATTAAATTACAATTCTTGGGCATCCTCCTGAGGGGAAAAAAAAAAAGAAAATTTCAGGCAAGCATACTAAAACTTATCCATACCTACAATGACTGTTTTTTTTTTTTTTCATTGAAGTTTTCATCTGAATTTCTTAAGAAGTCTCTGTGATCTTAATAATCCTTCTGGGTTCCTTCCAACTGAGGATATTCTATACATATTGTTTTAACTTGGGGATACTAGGAGGGATAGTAGAGACTTCCTTCTCCTTTCAGATAACAGAAGTTTAATTACCAGTTATTTGGATGGAGCTTTTATTTGATGCTCCACTGTAAAGACAGGAGGATGACAGCGTAGCAGAGGTGGCTTAAACACAACTAAATTGCAGAATTCCATGTATGATATCTTACTCACCTGTCTCAGACCGTAGTATTCTGGGATCTGTGCAGAAGGCAAGTGCAGTTCTTCAGATTTTAAGGAGCTATGCATCATGTAGAACTGGTTTTTAGATTTGTGGTATAGTTGCAGAGTAATTACAAGAAAGGGAGTGACACTCCAAGAAGGTCAAATGAAGACTAGACAAAACAAGGGCACAAGGGCTACCAAGGAAAAAGTCAATTTTGCAGTACAATTTGCAGGTAACAAATACTCTCAGAAGACATTAAGTCTTGCCTCTTTAATAAACAGAGAGTAAGGATGAATGAATTAAACACCTTGAGATTTTTTTTTTTTTTTTTTTAAAGAGCAAGATCTTCTTGAAGAAGTGAGTGATAAGTTGATAGCTAAATAGAGACAAAGATAAAGAGCACAAGGAGAGATAACATTTAGGAGACTGGTATAAAGGACCAGTGAAAAATGCTTTCAGGCTTCCTGTGGTATGTTTGGTAGGTTTCCAACACCTTAGGACAAGGCCATGGCTATGACTACAAACCAAAGACTGATAACAGCGAAGTATGGGATCATGTGAAATAACAGGGTAGTCTCTGTCCAAAAAAGAGACCTACTTTCCCCACAATAAAGTTCTTGCTACAAACTTACTGTTGCAAACTTGCTTGTTTACAACCTTGGGATGGTGTACCTGCAAGTCCAGCAGGCATAAAAGGATGCCTGAGAGAAGCTTCAGGGGGCTTTTAACTTTCTTCTATTTTCTAGTTAGAGAATTCAACCTTTGGATGAGCTCACCCCTTCCCCTCATCTATTCTCCAGCACTGGTGGGCAAGCACTAGAACTCCTTGAAATGGACCAGTGATGTCTTTCTTTGTCTCTCATTCTTTCTCTACTTCTCTCTCTCCCCTTCTTTTTCCTCTTGATCTTCTTTTACTCATTTTGTTTAGTAGCCATTGCCTAAATTTACCTTGAAACACTTGATAAGTGCCAAAGTATCCTTTACCCATAACATTGATTAACTGTTGTTAGAAAGTTGCCTAATCTTGACTTGAAGTAGTTGATTTATCCTTGTTAGAAACTTGTTTAATTTTGCCCTGGACTGTTATTTGAAACTTCAATGAATCTTCTTGCATAGTTCCTGTGAGTAACTATCTGACTCCACCGCTTTGGTGACTCATGCAGAGAAGGGAGTGCCCTATTTTGGGGTCTCCAAAGATTTACCTCCCTTGCAACCCACTGATTGGACAACTGGAAAGATGAATCCTGACTTAAGTGTTATTGGCAAAGATTCAGTTGCATCCCAGCTAGGTCCTGTCTTAGTGCTCAATGCAGAAGATGCACAGGAACATAGTAATTTATTATAGGTGACAATCAGTAATATGGGCCATTGGCAGGGGTGACAAGTGTGAGAGTCAATAGAAAAAGCATATACCGACATTCTGAAGCTCTCCAACTGTGTATGGCTGTGGAGAACAGGTTGACAGCCTTACCTTTTCAAGTGCATCATAGGCCTGTGTTGCTTGCACTTCCTCCTCAGACCCAGGCCGAGTTCTCTTCAGGATATTCTGCATGAGAAAAAGCATTTTTCATAATGTAGACAAGAAGAGCAGAGCTCTCAGAAGGGCTCAAGAAACAAGGAGACATTAAGATATAGCCTCAAGAGAGACTGAAGTAGTGGTAGGAGATGTGGAGATAACAAGGCCAGAAATTTAAGATGCAGGATGCAGTTGACAAGCTGCACTGAACAGGGCATCCCTGAAAATTTAAATGGAGTTAACTATCCTCTGTATGTTACATGATATAGGAGACAACCACTACTCTGAGCACAGTCTTAAGTGCAGAATAATTCTTTGCCTGATACCCCTTTTCTCCTTTCCAAAAGAGGCTCAAATAACAAAAAAAAAAAGTTCCATGGAAGTGCTCAAGGTTGATTCACTGGGGACTTGCATGTTGACTTAATAGGAGTGTCCCAGAGAGACAGTGTTGCAGGCAAAGAATAGAGACAGACCGCCTTCCAGAGGGCAGCCAGGGAACATGTCCCTTCTAGAAGGAAGCAAAAAAACAAAAAACAAAAAACAAACAAACAAAAAAAAAAAAAAAAAACAAAAAAAACTGACAAAAAAAAATTTAAAACACGTTCAGAGTTACTCAATTAATTATTCATTGGTATGTAATTGTTGTAGTGTTACAACTAAGTCCTAATAATATACAAAAATATATTGCCTCACAAGAGAGACTGTATCCAATTAATGGCATTGATCTAACACACACCCATTTATCATTGTACAAATGCCTGCTTTATTTTTTGAAATGCATATTCATAATAAATGCAATGGAGTTGCTTTAGTGCATCTAGCCAAGCTTATCACACAGAGCATGAAGAGCTCTATGCAGCCCGTCCTGCTAGTGCTTGATGCTAGTTCATATTTAGTGACTTTCGGACTTGAAGAAGGGTCAGATTAAAAGAAAGTGTAGAAAAACTGATAAATGAGCAGTAACCTGCAGGAGGAGTTTAAGTCGAGTGATGCGCTGGAAAGGGAGGATGAGGAAGGATTTAAGTGAGAGGCGCTGGCATACTGGATCACTTTCCAATCTTTCCAGGACTTGTTGAAATCCTGCATTTCCACTCCTGTGGGAAAGTAAATGAGAAAGCATATGCAGGCATCAGAGCAAATAAATAGTCTTTCTAGCAGAGAAAGAGTACCAGATTTCAGTGAATGTTGAGGTATGCCAGTCACTGCAGTCATGTTTTGGTCCTGGAGCAAGAAATGTCAAGAAACTGGACCACTCAGCATAGTCAGAATAAGTATAGGTTTCTAACAGCTATAGGAGGGCAGCACTACAATAAAGATCTTGTTTGATCTTTCCTCTTTGTGGTTTAGTACTCTGGAACAACCAGAAGTAGCATCTATGTTTCAGTCTCACCTACAAAAAGGGTACCTTTCACAAAATAGTTGTGGTTTGTATCCTTTCTTAATACCAAATGGCCTAGCTCCAGGGGCTTTACCCAGGGAGTGGAAAAGCTGCTCCCACAATCTTGCTACTGCTGGGAAGAGTATTACACCTGCCTTCCTCTCTAATGTGTTGCTTAATGTCTTAGAAACAGCCACTGCCATCCAGTTTTCTGTCTTCAGCAGCAGCAGATACAAGAACAATGGTACGCAAGTGGCATCTACTGCCAGAACAGTCAAATTCTATATCCCTGAAGAGTTGGAAAAGAAGCTTTTATGCCCAGTAGTATCTCACAAGTAGCCATTGGGCCCACAATACCCTAGATGATATTCTGAAGGTTCTTTCTGTGCAGAACTGAGCCTTCACTGAAGGAAACCAATGGTAAGACTAAATGTCTCCCAGTCAGCAGCACCCAGAGCACCCAATGCCTGAATGACTTGTTTCAAACAGTGACATCAACTAGGATTGTTTTTTTACTGATTATAGTGCAGAAGTCCTAAGGAAACTTTGCTCATGACTGAGCCTGAGCAGTGCTTGATTGTGCCACTGAGTGCAGAAGACAACAGCAAGAGAAACTCATGATGCTCTGGCCTTAAGATTTTCAATCCATTTCAAACACTCTTGAATAGCCAGTTCAGATTTAATGGCAGCAACCATACTTTTCTTAACTATCACTTTCAGGTTCTTAATAGTCTGAAAACCACATACTGACAACAACTGTCTAGAACAATCATTTTTGCTCTAAGGTTGTGGCAATTGCCTTCAATAGAGTATTTCTACTGAATGTTATTCTCTTACATTATCTCAGTTGTTCTTTTTCTCCTCTCAAAAGAGGAGCCTTACAGAATCTCAGACCTTCTGTTCCAAATGCTACTGAATTGAAGAAGGCTTCTACCTTTTCTTCTGGAGATGTACTGCAAACAGATGTACCAGCAGATGTACAACAGATCATACTTGCTGTATGCCTGTCACTTGAAACAGTGCACATCAGAAGTGCAGCAAGCAAACAGGAGGCTGTAGAAGGTTTCAACAAATTTTAAAAACTTACAGTAACCGCTGGAAGGTTTGCTCCTGGTATGTCTGGTTTGTTACATACGGTAGATAGACCCTGCGGAACTCAGGAGCATGTTTCAGAGCCACATCACATACATGGAAGGTGAACATGTCCTCTTCAAACTTCTCTTCCAAGTCAAAAAGGAAACTGCAGCACACAGTTGTGGTGCCATAGAAGGAGAGAGAAATCTATGTTTAATGACTTACATTTAATTGATTTCAAATCAGGTACTGTCATATTATGTCTGTAATCTTATTTACTTATATTTGATTCAGGATTGTGCAGCTGCACCGTCTGCACATATATTTTGTAAAAGCTGCATTTGGTTTGGACTGAGGTCTAGTTACTTGTTTGCAGTCAGTGCCACTAAGACATGGCAGCATTTTGAATATTCTGACTCTGTAATGATCTCTGAGCACAGTTATATCATTTCCAGTTGTTTGAAGGCTGTAATTTGCACTTCATGGAGGGTGTTAGATGTGGAAGTAAGGGGCTGTAATCTCACCTGGCACTGACATCACGTACATCCTGAAGGCGTGAGAAAAGCCACTGACGCTCCTGATTGCTGAGAATTGCCTGGAGTTCTGTTGATCGCTGGAAGTGATCCACTGCCACATTTAAACTGCGCAGATAGGAAGCCTCAGACATTATCAACTCAAATTTGGCCTTGAGAGAAGAAAAAAGGGAGCAGAACATCAGCAGACCAGGCAAGCCTGCAAGGAATCTTATTAGGTGGAGATGGGATAAAGCAAGAAAACTTTTTAGTATGCGATGTGTGCAATTAATTACAAAAGAAGAGAAACTTCAGGAATGAAAGACAGCTTGCAGTATGACTTAAAACAATAGTTACCTGTTCTAATTTTAGTTTTCATTCTTAGACTCCACTTTCCCCTATGTTATGTGCTCCCATAAATTATCCAGCATCAACACTGCCTATGTTCTTTTTCTCCTTCATGTTTCACATGCTGTTGTTTTCTTCCTCTTTCTCAGGGTTCTCCCATCCACTTGTTTGTCCCTCCAATCTTCCTTAACCTGTTACTCCATGTACCAATTTGCCGAATACATACATATATCTTCTCATTCCCCCTCAGCCCTGCAGCACATGTGGGTCAATTCTCTCATAAGCTTAAGTGTGGGAGAAAGCTCAGTTTTCTATTTAAGATTCTATTTTGCATCAAATTTGTTCAAAATTCCTTGTTTTCTCTTGTTCCAATTTCCTAACATCTGTTTTCATGAAGTTAAGTGATAGAATTTTTATCTTATTTCTGTGCTTCTTCTACCAACAATGCAGAACTTCAGCATTGTATTACTTCATAAGTACTGACACCACATTCCCAAACTGCTTACATGACACGGTGACCTCTGCATTCAACCACTGCATTCCCACATCAGGCATTTTTGCTTTCCACTTTAACCACCGTCCTCCATCCTCCTTGACTACAAGCCACCAATCTACCTTATTACATCTATCCATTACCTCTTGCAGCTTCTGCTCATCACGGGACATATTGAGTAATATTCTGCTGCCCCGGATCATGGGGATATCCTGCCAGAGGGATGCGTTTGATGACACTGACAGACGTTGCAAATATGAGTCCTGGGGAGACAACACTTTCCTTCGTAGCCTCGGGGAGCTTGGCAAACTCGATTCTGCATCCTCTGTAAAAGAATCCACTCTCTTCTGGCTTTGAATGGCCTTGTTCAGAACCACATCACTGTACTCCTGATATAGCAACTTTGCTGTGAAGAGAGGCATATATTTTTACACTTTCTATGAAGCTATCTGCCCTCTACTTCAGTCTGGAGAAAACTGTTAGGATAACATTAAACCATATGTATCTACTATCAGCCAAGTGGTGACCATGACTATGGCTTCACTGCCTCCACTAAACACTCCTTTCTAATGCTCCCAAGTGACAAAACCAACAGCAAGGGTGGGAGATGACAGAAGATAGTGGTCTGCCATAGCACTTCAAGCAGAAGGTACTTACAGGAGTTGATGAGTTTGGAGTGCCGACGTTTGAAGGTCCCCATTGTATCTGCAGGTTTCTTTTCTCTGTTAGGAAGTAAGGATTTGCAAACACAGAGAAAATGAAGAGCACAGTGCCAGTGATGGATAACCCAAATCTTAGTAATGGATCTGACACAAGGCCCTCTCTAACAAGCTCAAGCTCCACATACTTTACGTTAGAAAGAACAAAGTTTGGCTTGATGGAAATACTGTCCACTGGACAGAAATACTTCTGCTGCAATGGAGTCCTCTCCTACAGGACATGGAGAGGAACACAGCTGTAAGTCACTTTAGCATAGTGTTCTACTTATTATCTTCATTTGGATCCCTTAGAAACAATGGTAGAGCATCAGGTATCTGTGCTACACAGGCATGAGGCCAAAATCAATGGAGCATGGAGCCTTTAAGAGACTTACCGCAATATAACTGTTTCTGAATTGACTGGTGGTTCCCTGTGCACCTTGTGTACTTCTTCCTCTGAATGAACAGGACAGACTTCTGTTACATAAGATAATTAGAAGGTAAACACAAATACAAATGTAGAGTCGAGCTAGAATCACAAAAGACACAGATACCCCTTATCATACCCTATCTATGCAACAGTCTTAAGTCTACAGCACAAATGCCCTCCTGAACTTTATTTCTGGTTTTTGTAATCCTTGGCATTACTTATACTTTAGAACTATAACTTAGTTACATTTGCTTTTCATACCAATAGAAAGGTTGATACTTTCAGAAGTGACAGTATCTCTAAGAGCACAGACTTTCAGTTGCCTAAGCAAAGCTACTGCCTGCAGGCCCTATATTTGCAAGATGCCTTTTCCTTTCCTTGCCTTTCAGCAACTTGGGCCAAGTATGTGAGAATCTAGACTTGCTTTTGCAGATGTTGAGCTCCAAAAACTCCCAGTAGCATCCAGAACAGAAATACCAAACACCTAACAAAATTACACATTCCTAGAGTCTTATAAAGGATGACACCTGCATGAGTATGATAGGTGTTATCCAAAACTTGCATTTATGTGCCCTGATTGCTTACAAACTGCTGTTTGAGACAGCATCTGTTTATATTATAAAATGAAGAAAAGGGCTTCCCTTTCATTCTGTGAGAGGTTTAATTAAATGAGTGGAGAAATTACATATACATTCATCAGAAGCAGAAAAAGGAAGTGAGACTAGAGACTGAGCTGTAAATATAAGTCAGGGAAAAGAACTGCTGCTTTGAATGTTTTAAAATATTGAACAAAAAATGTACAGGTCGAATACATGAAGAAATTTTGATTTGAGTGTGCCACCAAACTCTTTGCACCCCTCAGCCATTCCCTCCTTTCCCTCCATAACAGAACTCCAGCACATTGTGGAGGTTGGAAAATAAACTTATTAATTTCTAAGAAAAAAAGCCAGCATGTTTAAAATATTGTATGAGGGCTACTCCAAAACTACTGCCTTCTATTTTATTATGCTGGCCCACAACATCCAAGGCAGATCATGATGGTGTGAGAGATATAGAGATTCAATCCAGATTCAACCTTTCCACCAATATTCTGTTACATTTTGTTGCCATGTAGTAGATGGCAGCAGAGGGCAGTCTGATAAAATGGCTTCATATGCTCCAGGTCAGATGCCAAGGTATGGAACTGAATTCTTTCATACAGAAAAAATTGCACCTTCTGATATTCATTGACATTTGCTCATGTTTATGGAGATCGAACAATGGATGTTAGCAAAGTGAGGCAGTGGGTGGTGTGTTAAAGCAGGCACAACAGGGTCACCTCCACTAGTAAAGACTTTACAAGTGCATCATGCAGGCTTCGTTCATTGCTGGCAAAAATGCATAGCTATTGGTGGTGGCTATACTGAAAAACAGTGTTTTGCAGCTAAGAATTAGCTCTATCAAATAGCATTATTGCTCTCTTTGTTGTAGTTTACATGGAAATAAATAGGAGGCATTTTCATATAATATACATATAATATATAGGAGGCATTTCAAATAAATAGGAGGAACTTTCAGAGCAACTTGGTGTCATCTGCAAACTTACTGAGGGTGCACTCAATGCCCTCATCCAGGTCATCAACAAAGATATTGAAGAGGATAGGCCCCAGCACCGACCCCTGGGGAACACCATTCGTGACAGGTCGCCAGCTGGATTTAGATCCATTCCCTATTGCACTTGGGCTGCAACAACCCCAGGCAACGCTACAGGCTTGGGGCAGAGTGGCTGGAAGACTGTGTAGAGGGAATGGACCTGCGGGTATTGATTGATGCTTGGCTGAATATGAGCCAGCAGTGTGCCCAGGTGGTCAAGAAGGCCAATGGCATCTTGGCTTGCATCAGGAACGGTGTTGCCAGCAGGGACAGGGAAGTGATTGTCCCCCTGTACTCAGCTCTGGTGAGGCCACACCTCGAGTACTGTGTCCAGTTTTGGGCCCCTCATTGCAAGAAAGACATTGAGGCCCTGAAGCAGGTTCAAAGACGGGCAACAAAGCTGGTGAGGGGTCTGAAGCACAGGGCTTATGAGGAGCAGCTGAAGGAGCTGGGATTGTTTAGTCTGGGGAAGAGGAGGCTCAGGGGAGACCTTATTGCTCTCTATAACTACCTGAAGGGAGGTTGTAGTGAGCAGGGGGTCGGCCTCTTCTCTCCTGTAACTAGTGATAGAACTAGAGGGAATGGCTTCAAGCTGCACCAAGGGAGATTTAGGCTGGACATTAGGAAATACAATTTTTCTGAAAAAGTGATCAGGCACTGGAATGGGCTGCCCAGGGTGGAGTCACTGACCCTGGGGCTGTTATTTAAGTGCAACAAAACACAATGGCTATATGATGGCAGCAGAGGTGATTAACAGCTGCAAATAGCCCCACAAAAAACCCAGCTCTAGCAAGTAGGCTAAAATTGCTCACGTTACTGTGTAAGGGCAGCAGATCAATAAAGACAGAGAAGGAATAGGAAGTGAAATAAGGTCTCTACTGCATGTGTTAGTGCAAGCAGGGGAACTAATTCCCCGTGTGCAGCAGGAAGCACCTATCATGGGGTAGCAGACAGGAGTTTAGGAGAGAGCAGTGTGATAGCAGCCAGGAGATGCACAAGGGGCTGCAGTTCCAAGTACTGCCAGAAATGCACAAAAACACTGCCACACTTTCAACTCTCATGACTTTCTATCACATTGCCTATTTAACTACAGGCTTTTGATAACTGCATTAAGTTTTGCAGAGTGAAGAAGAGTAGCTAGAGATGGAGGATGGACTCACCCTGAAAGATGTCTGGTGGTACAGATATCCTTTTTAGGCCCTGACGGTGCCAGTCCTTGCTTTTCACTCTGCACTTACTCAGACTTTCTTGACTGGCTTTTGGCTCTTTTGCAACTACCCCAATTGTTTTTTTGTCTGGCCAGCTTGATGATTTTTCCAAAGGTAAATGTTTTGGTACTTCTTTTGATTGAGATACCAAACGGTATTTTTCTTGTCCTTCTAGCCTTTGTTTTACTCTTCCCTCACTTTTTGCTTTCTCTGTAATTGTTGAAGCGCGGATGTTCTTTGTGTCCACATCAAAGAGGTCTGTCCGCTGCACCCACTGCAGCTCTCCTGATACCTCATCTTCTTGGCAGATTGTTTGAGCAGTTGGTGGTGATGGAGGGCTTAGCTGGAGAAAGTGAATTGGATTGGTGAATGCTAGCATTGGAAGGGACTGTACAGAGTCTCTGCTCTCTGAGTCTGTGAATGTTCCCAAATCTTCCAATGAGGACCAAGAAAGGTGGTCAGGTGAGGATTTTTCACACTGTATACCCTCATGCTGAATCACTGTTTCAGTGCTGGTGTCAGAACAGCTGGCCAATGCCTCATTTCCAACAGCAGAAAAGCCTTTGGCCAACAAACTGACCCCTGAGTCATTAGAAGTCTCTGTATCTCGGGTACCCAAGTCACAGAAATTGTGCTCTTTAGTTGCTGGAACAAAGACAACTTCGTCTGTAAGACTTTTATCAGGAGAAAAGTTGGCAGTGTTAGCATCAGATACAATAGCAGCAGTCCATAAAGGATGGCTTATAGTAAGGGCTAGTAAGTCATGATCGTCCATATTACAGTTCAGATGTGGCTTGGAGTTGGGTACAGGAGTCAGTGTCTCATGACTCTCATGAGCTAGAGCCTGGACACAGTGACTGGCATTAGGTGCAGGGGCCTGAGCTTGAACAGGGCTTGGGACATGGGAAGGAAGGTGTTTGGCATCAGGCTCAGACACCAGAGTTAGGCTTGTGTTAGGCTTAGGAGACAGAGGTCGTCCTCCCTGGTTTACAGCAAGGACCGTATCTCCTTCAGGGGGCCAAGTTAGGGTGCTCAGGATGCTTGAGATTCTAGATCCAGGATTCCAGTCAGACTGATCAAATAAAGGTATCTGTTGTGCTTTGTGAAACACATTTGTTCCAGTTTCATTTTCTTGCATAATGGCACTTTCTTCTGGTGGATCTTGGTACTGAAGAATTGTTCCTGGTTGGTTCAAGGTAGTGGAAGTCCTGACCCATGTTTGAGTTGATTCCAGAGGCTCTGTAACAAAAAACAGTGTTTCTCTGTCTCCAGGAAGGCTCTTCTTTGCAGGAAGAGAGCTTGTATATACTACAGAGAAAGAAGATGAGACACTAAGGTCTTCATGAAAGTCTTCCTCAGGAGCAAGCAGTTCATAGGAACCACTGCCCTCCTCTGGATCAGCAGTTAAAACAATAGTTTCCACTGATGCCAAATCCTGCATGCACACAGAAACAGCTTGGTTAGCATGCTTCTCTATAGAGTATGACAACTTATTCAAGCTGGAACTAGGACAGTCCTTAGGGTTCACCAGGGCTCCTCCACCAACGTCCTCTTGCTGTGGGCCAGACATCGAAGCCACAAAAGTGAGCTTTAAGGGTAAATTTGAAACAAAGTCACAAAACTCAGCTTTTCGTAAGTTTTCTGCAATGGGATGAGAATCCACAGGATCATTTGGGTCCATCTTCTCAGTACCAGTGGAGGAATATACTTGAACAGAAGCCTCATGGCCCTCTATGCTAGAAGGTGCTGCCACTCCTCCACAGTGTGGAGCTTCTCCTTTGTCAAATATCTGGGCAGCCTTTCCAGGTTCACTACTGTGCTCACCCTTCCCACCCAGCTTTATGTTGTCATCCCTGTCAACTTCTACACTATTTTGACTGGTCATGGAAAAGCGGACAGTGTCTTCCAGCTCTTCCAGGTCAGAGATACGGCACACGTGCAGAGGCACCACTGGAACTTCACCCATTAGGTTCAGGCTCTCTGATGGGAAAGGGCTGGCAAAAGGTGTCTGACATCTAGAACTCACTGCTGTGACTTGAGCTTTGAGCAGCACACTCTCACCAAGATGCTCTCTCATGAAATCACATTCCCCAGGAAGTGCTGTTCCAGTTTGCTCAGCCAAGAAGACATTTTCCAAACTACAGAAGTCCACTTTATGCCTGGGCATATAAAGTGTCTCTGAAAGGAGAGCTGATGCCAGTGTCTTCAGTCTGAGCTCTTCCCTCTGTTGTTGCTGTTCCTGTTCATTTTGTTCCTTTTTTTCTTGCTTTTTGGGCTTCAAAAATTTTCCTTCTTCTTGCATGTTCTGGTCTTTGCACTCTTTCTTCTCTTGTTCCTGCTGAAGTTCAGCCACTGCTTCCTTCTGTGCTGTTTCCTTATGTTGTGAAGTATTCATTCGTTTAGCTTTTTTAGCAGTATCCTTTTTGTAGAAAACACATGATACTGAAGAGGTAGGTCTGCTGTCTGTTTTTCTGCAATCATCTTCAATATGAATGCATTCAGAAGTGGATGGGTTTTCCTTAGGAATCATTACTGACTGCTGGTCTTTGAACAGCTTGCTACTAGTTATTTCACAAGCTGAGATGTTTCCTCCTGTTTGTAGTGAGCTTATTTGGCTGTCATTTGTTAAGGTGGAAGTCAATTGATAGCAAGACTCTGTATTTTCTTCCCAACTCTGGAGCACTCTTCTTCTTTCCTTACCATCTTCAGAAGTGCAACGTTTAGCCATGTCCTCTGCTGTTATCTCCAAGGTAGGCCATTCATCAATTGCCAGTGCCACCTTTTTGCTGTTTTGCTTCTGCTCTGCACTAGCATCAATCTCCTGCAAAGATTCTACCTTATCCAGAGATGGCTCAGCCTTATAGTGCCCCTCCGAAATCGTTTTAAAAACCAAGAAGCACTTAGGTGCCTCTCTCTGAGAGGAAATGTTATCAGCCAAAGGAGATTTTTGATACTGGGCCTGAGGATCTGAGACATGAAAAGCCAGTTCTGTATGGGAATGAGAACATTCAGTGCTGAGGTCCACAGACTGTGGGATGGCACTGCCATTAGCCGGTCCATCCTGGATTGGGCTGAGATAGGAAAAGTCCTGGTTGCTTTCCAGGTCAGCCAGTTCCCCTTGCTTAAGTTTTAATGAACAATCCAGTCCACCCTCTAAAATCATTTCTCCATCCCATTCTGAGAGTCTCTTATGAGGATCTGCATCACCATGCTCTTGTTCCAGTACTGCTGGCACTTTTTGTACAGGATTTGAGGGTCTGCCTGGCATTTCTGCTGCTTCTCCTGGAGCAGAAAGACAGTCCGCAGGTGTGCTGAGCTCTGCTCCCTCTGCAGAATCCAGTGGGCTGATGCTCATTTCAACTGATGCATGAAAGGCATGATGCTGTCTTTCAGCTACTGCAGAATTCCAGGCTTCCCCAGCAGTGCTGCAAGCTTCCAAGGGAGTGATACTTCCCTTGCTGATTTCTTCAGAGACCATCCATGATGCATTCAGATAAAAAAGAAAAAATCATTCTTATGTTAGTACTGCAGAATGAATTAGTAGAACTAATTGGCTTGAGAGACTTAAAAAACATACTAACACTGATGAGGGAAAAGAAAACAAAATACATACTTACGTGTTGAAAAAAACTGACTGAGGCAAAAACTACAGGCAAACACTTGAGGTGAGCTTGCAGTATAGGATTATAACTCCAAAATAAAACTACTAGTGCCTTTTAAGTTTTAAATGCAAATGCAGAAAGTGACTTCAGCCAGGAGTAAAGATACTGATCATTCTGTACATGGGCAAAGTGCAATTTATGAAAAGTATTGGCTGTGGTGACTCCTCTCAAACCCAGAAGGGAAACTCAGAAATCAGGACAAGAATATAATAAAAGTCTCCATTAATTTTTTTGTCACAGAATGGATTACTATTCACCATCTCTTGTAGTGACTTGCTGAGATTTAAAATCTCTGATTTCAGCAATGCAGCACCTGTACTGTGGAACTGATGGATCTCTTCACAGATCTCTTTGTATGTATGTGAAATAGAAGAATTTACTGCACCTCATCACAGGAATTCATTAAGAAGTAGGAATATAAGAATGTGATTAATACATAACAAGCACATGACATAAGATAGTTGAAGGCTGTATAAGCTATACAGGTGGAGAGGAGTACTCCTGATGCACACAGACATAACTACAGATAACAAAGAGAAACAAAATGAAAATTCACATTATCAGTTTTAGTTTAAAAAAAAATCACAGGATTGTTGGACAGTTTCTCTAAGGACATAGTAGAATTTCCTATCCATTACTGCATTTGAAGTTCAGACATCGCATCTGAGAAATGTCTATTACAACGATGGTAGAATCTGATTCATTGCTTTACTTTTTCTGGATTCTGCTTATCCCATGATCAAAAATCTCAAATTTAAAAAGATGTAAGAAACAGACAAACTTGAGTGGCTCCCCCTCCTTTCTTTGGCTTCAGGGATGCACTTCCTCGTGTTCCATGCTTTCTTCCCTATTTTCAATTCCCTGCTTATCAGAAATGGATAGTCACAGAATCAGGTCGAACCAGTTGGTAAACCGTTGACATTGCTTCATGTGCGCTAGGTACACCTACAGTCACACTAGTTTGTAAATTATCTTTCAAGAATCTGCTGCAACATGTAACCACAGTGAAGATTTCTCCCTGAACAAAGCTTCAGTGTTCTCCTCCTTCATCCTGTTAAGATTTCTAGATGCATAGTTCTGTATCTTTTTGATCAAACAAACCATTCCACACTTCTTCACATAAAAACCTACTAACAGTTTAGCAGTAGAATAGCTCTAAGGCCTGAGTCCGGAGAGTGTGCAGAGTTCATTAAATTACTTTTTCTCTCTCTGGCTCTCCACCTTCCCTTTTCCCAATTTTAAGACTATTGTTGTTTGGGTTTTTTTCCAGAAATTCAACTGCTTTGTGCAATGGAGGGGGACAACAATTTCAACTAGGGAAACTCACAGAGCAAGATAAGTCTCTGCATGGAAAGCACAGTCTTTGAGATCAGTGACAATTTAATTATGCTTATTCCATACAGAAGGTAAAAGCACTACGAGCATGATTATATCTGGACTAATTGCCCCATCCAACTCCATGGCCAGGATTGACCTGACCTTTAAGTTGGTTTCACTAATATTTTTTCTTATGTCAAGTGAAACAGCATACCTGCTCTGAAATCAGTGATTCCAGACCTGAAGCTTTATATATATACATATATATTTATACACATGTATACATCTCAATCATGCAGTTACAGAGTATTCTGAAGTGGGCCCTCAAAGATCACTAAGTAAAGCTCCTGGCTCTACACAAAACCACTCTGAAATTAAATCATACTTCTGAGAGCATTGTACAAATGCTTCTTGAACTCCATCAGCCACCAAAACTGCCCTGTGGAGCCTGCTCCAGTGGCCAACCACCCTCCCAGCTGAGAACCTTTTCGTAATGTCCAACTTCACCCTCGCTGATGCAGCTTCGTGGGGATTTTCATCATTTTAAGGCTTAGAAAAATTTACAAAAAAAAAAAAAGAGTTAATCAGTTAACTTTGTTCCTTTTTTCCATGTTTGTTTTTGTGGGTTTTCTTTTTTGAAAACTTATTTTTTCCAAAATCAGATAAAAATAGATCCCTCAGCATTTGGATTTCTGAAATTGAGAATAGCTGTAAATATTTAAAACATACTGTTTTTTGAAACTATAAATTGATAGGTCCATTCAAAACTTTCCCAGAGGGCTTCTGTTGTATCTTACTGCTGCCAATGCTTATTATATCTTTTACCTTTCCAAAAGCATCAGGAAGACACTCCAGCACAGAAGCATAGCATACTTTTTTTTTGCCAAGAGGACCTAAAACTCTAAGACTTCAGAGATTGTATGCACACAACAGTGCACAGTGATGCTAACAGATGCTAGCAAAACAGCTACAAGCTGGAAATGAGAGGGCAGTGAGCTGCAGAGCAGCATGGGAAAAAAAAGGTGTAATACTTGCTCTTACTGCAACAGGCAACACTAAATTTTAGGGTGGAAGGATGAATAAGTTGGCCAGCTACTCAAAACTAGATAGCAGTGAAAGCACTAGCAGACAAGGCAATTCTGTGATGGTACGTTTATGCAGTTTTCCCAGATTACAAAAAACAACGTATCAGTCTTCTTTCCAGCCTGTGTTTATTACCTGGATGGAGATGACAAACTCTTAAGTTTTTAAACAGAAAGTACTCACTCCCCCTCCCCACCTCCTCCCCCAAACAAAAAAAGAAGAAATAACAAGTGCTGTCTAGCACAGACAGGCTCTACAGTCAGCCAGGAAACAAGGTGCAACAACTCCAGGGAACTAAATAGAGCACTAATCCTAAGAAAACCAAGACTTAGATGAGTGCTGAGATCCTCCTCCTGCCAACCTGGGGATAGACTCCGCCTCTTGTGCCCTCACCTTGCCTTCCCTCTGCGGAGAATCTGAAAGTGCTTCCAGCCAGCTCCCCAGCCTGTGCCAGGGCAGAGAGGTAGAAGCACAAGGTGCATAGAGGTGGCAGCACGAGGTGCATACACCCATGTTGTTGTAAACAGCCTCACGCCTGAGAAAGCCCTGCCCTGCAATTACAGGTCTGACAACTGGAGCTGCACTAACACACACTACTAGTTGGGTTGTCTGCCTGGCCTACTGGCCCTCTGCAGCCCACAAGGTCTGCAGGAATCTTGCTGTGCCTTTCCTATGGGGCAGACAAGCTTCCTGATGGGTGGTGAATGGATGTCTGGCCCCAGCTGGGCTGCCACACAGCTCAAGCATACTTCAAAGGAGCCAGGATGGCAGAGGCTGGCTCACTCTAGCCTCCTCCATCCAAAATCCTGATCCATGTAGGAAAATCTCCACTTCTACCTGGAGGCTGCATATCCTTTGGTTTGGTGAGGCACTCAAGAAAAAACTCAGTACAATGGCCAGGGCTGTGCTAGCACAAAACCTACCCCACCACAAAACTCAGTTTTCAGTGGGCTGTTCCCCAGAAGGGCACCCCTATAACTAAACATCTTGCTTTAATCCATTTCCACAGCTCAATGCTTCTTGTATGAAGCCTACTGCATATGTGCATCTGCAATAAATAAATAAATAAATGTTTAAAAAAAAAAAAAAAAAGCCACACCAACACACCACCAACAACAACAAAAACACACCAGAAAATGGATACCAGGCTGAGGCCTAGTTCATGATCTTCGCAAACCATCAGGCTACTGCACTGTACATTGAGAAAGGTGAAGTAGCAGGGTCAAAACCCTTGAACTCAGGGAGAGATTTCACAGAGCACTAGAGTGAAGGAAAGCAGATTTGGAGCTTGCCAAAGGAAATAACATAAAGAATAAAAGGTCGTTACATAAAAAGCATGAGTCAAGATAATGTAGCATCTTCCACTATGCTAAAAAGCCTGTGTGCTACTGGCATGCTGGGAAAAAGTTGCCTCCTCTAATGTTTTGGGCAGGGGAAAAAAAAAAAAAAAAGGGAAAATACATCCAAGTTGCTACTGAACCTCAGGAAAATGTAAGACCTCTGTCATATGGGTATAGTTTGATGAGTTTTAACATTCAGTATCTCACTGTTTTTCACCAATAGTAGGCATACTGAAGATGTACTGAGCATATTAATTATCAAATTACTCACTAACTGGGAGAAAAAGGATATTTATTCTATATTTGTTTTCTCTTAAATGGATTATAAGACTAAATAATAAATTTTTAAAAATATCAAAGAAACAAAATTAGTAGTACAGAATTTCACCTCAGAAATTGCTACAGAATGTTAATCTAAACAGCAAGTGATGCCCGCAGCTTGGACAGCATATTGCACTTCCCAAGTAAAATGATTCAGTCTTATGACAACCATTAGGCCATCTATACATCAGGAGAATTGGTTCATTTGAAGCAGAGCTTCAGTTTTATATTCATAAAAGTTCTGGATAAGTCTTGACACTTCGTAATCTTTAGTACAGTCTTTAAGAATAAACAGGAACAGTAAACAGTGCTCACTGACATAGCTTAGCAGTACGATTGTTTATACTACTGGACTCAGAGAGGAAGCATCAGTGAAAGCAATGTATAGTCACTTCCAGTTGCACCATACAGGTGTCTCTACAAACAACAAAACAAAACAACCAACAGAAACATCTGGTGCCCAAAAGGAAGCAAGGACTTCTGAAATGTATGCTATGATGAACGCTACACACTACACACATTCCTAGACAAAAGTTTTGCTATAAATCACAGGAGTTCCAGTTTCTCTTTAAACAAAGCATTTCAGGACCTAGATGTAAGAAGATCTCCAGCTAGCTGTCGAAATTTCACAGTCTCCTACTACGTTACAGAAACATGCACCCATGCTGCTGTTTTTGAGTTTCAGATTAAAGAATGCTGATGTTTATACTAAAACCACATTGACATATAGAAATGCCATTAAAACATCAAAGAGC